TTTATCAGCTAATGTTAATATTTCCTTCTTTTTAACTGATGGCTATCATGGGTTTTATAGTTGAGATTTACGATCTCGAACAGTTAGGTATATATAAGAACACATTCATAGTTCTACTGAGGAATAACCAATCAATGCCTTTACATTCGGGCTTGTTTGAAAAGCGGGAAACTGTTAATTCTATAAAAATCTCTAATCTCGGCTGATAAAACAAAAAAAAACTTGTTACAAGGTGTTGCCTTTACAGAAGATTTTTAAATCTAGTAATATCAGAATGCAGGTGCATGTATACGCAGTGCGTTTGTCACATAGACACTAAATATTCCATTCAGAATTTCTACAAACGATTAAGTCAGTAACAAGTACGATGGAGTTCTTTATTTTACGAACATTGTAGCCTTGTACGATTTTCGTTATTTCTTCTTTTTAATTTTTTTTATAAATGTAATGTAGAATTTTATTGAGTTTTGTGGTAGTGATCTTTAGTGTTCATGAAGCTACTTTCGTGACGCTAAACTGTTAATAAAAATTGTGTTCGATAACGGTACGAATAGTGTTAAAGTTTGTTTAAACATAAAGCTACATATTAGACTATCTGCGCTCTGTCCACCACGGGAAATCGAACCCTCAATTTTAGCGTTGTAAGTTCGTAAACTTTCCGCTGACCCACTTGGGAACTTGGACAGAGTTGAAACCACCCACAATGAACGCTCTTTTAATTAGGTTTCTAGTGTTATTAAGTAAGAATACATGACGCCAGTGACGGATATTGACTCGAGTCGGTGGTGGTTAAGAATGAAACGTCACGCACGTGACATGTACATTCCCATCGACTACTAGAACTATCACTACTTGCATACAGATAACTGACTGGCATGAGCGGTTAAAATTTTTAGGTACACAAAAATCAAACTATTTATTTACTAAGACTTTAAAAACATAGAAATTTCACCGTAAAGCTAGACTTACCGAGTATAGTTCTGGCTTTAGACGTAAACATTGCTATCCAAGTTACACATACCATATGAAATAAAAGTCCAAAATTGCAGAAAGAACAAAAAATCCACAAGCGACATGAACAAGACACGTTTGAAAAAAGCCACCACACCTTACAGTCATCACCCCACCCCTAAGAGAAATAATGGTAGTGTCCTTACGCCAATCAATGGCTTTTCTCAGAAGCTAGGGTGGGGTAAGGTCAATAAACCCCTGGCCGCACTTACAATCTCCGCCTGTGTGGGGCAGGGGTGAGGGGCAGGTTCTGGGAACAGATGGCGAACTGTAGCAGCAAAAAGAGAGAAGAATGAACCGAAAGTTTTGATAAAAAGAACTAAAACAGTCTGCCACGGCTTCTCAGGGAGAGAGAGGAAAAAGTATCATGAGAAGAAACTCCAACAATGATTTGTATATGACCAGGTAAATGAACTGTATATAATCACTTCCATATGCATAACTACAACTAATAATGGTTGGAGACGGCTTGAATAGGTAGTAG